TTGATCCTATGCCTTGTTACAATAATTCCCCCAATATGTCTAGGGCCCAAGAACCTGCGTGTTTAGCAACCATCATCTGCCCAAGGTGATTACAACCCCCTGGGTCTGCAGACTACATTTTGAGCAGCCCACATTGCCCGTTGCTAGCTCCCTAGGTCCTGGAGAGTTTGTAGTTGGATGAAGCTAAAGAGGTGCTGCAATTAGAGACTGGCCCCCAGCACATCAGAAAACAATGCGGTGTCGACCAAAATGCAAATTATTTCAATCAACTATATTTCATGGGAAAATCAAGTTCATTTGTAAAGATGCAGCAAAACTCAAGAGAATGACCTTTCTGAATAAACCATGGATATTAGATTGTTGGGGTTTGGGGTTGTCTCTCGCTTCTCCTTTTCTTTTGTTTTCTAAATGTGGAGACATGTACTTCCAGTGAGAAGGAAATCTCTTTAGTGAATATTGTTGGTGAGTTGTTCTCCAGTTAATTCAGATTCTGTTGTATTCAGACTTTTGTGTTGCTTCTTTTACACTGGTTTGTGGTGTTTGTGCTTCTTAAATCTGTTCAAAATAAGCACTAGGATTCTGTTTATATGCATAATATGCAGAAAGTGCATAATATGCATAAGAATATGTAGTTCATGCCTTTGATGATCAACAAAATGTTTAAATGGTAATATTTCCTGACAGCATCTTTTTAGGGGATTCTCTGTAATTTGAGCCTGTCAGTAGACCTAACTTACCTATATTAGAGTTTCTCCATCTCTGCACTATTGATATTTTGAGCCAGATATTTATTATGCGGAGCTGTCTTGTGCCTTGTAGAATTATTTTCATAGTCACAAGTCTCCACCCTCTAGGTGCCGGTAACACAAACACATTTCCATCCCCTCTAGCTGTGACAAGTGAAAATATCTCTCGACTTTGCCTAATGGCTCCTTGGGGCAACATTACCCACCCCCAGAACAGCTGTGCTACGTATCCTTTTTATCACATGCACTACCTTTTATTAATGTTGTCACTCCTGTAGTAACTCAGAATAAAATAATATTTTTACAACTTTCAAGTTGTTAGTCTATACAGAACCACTGGGTCAGTTTCAATTTTACTTCCGTTTACAAAATTGAACCAAATTTGAAATTGTCAATTTTCAATCCTTAAAAAAATATGATGACACTCAAAAGACCAGATTGGGGGCCTTAAAATGAGTCATCCATTTATAAAAGAAACAGTCACCGCAGAGAAATGCTGAACTTGAACTTGAATTTTCAGCACTGAGAAATAGCCATAAACATGTCCTAGGCCAGGGGTGGTGAACCTGTGGCACGTGTGTTGTTGGTTTTCTTTTAAGACAAAAGATGATAATGTATGAGTTGTTTTTTTCTAAATTAAAACTTCAGTCTTCAGGTTTAACTGCAGTGTTGGCTCTTTGTGATAAATAAGTGGGTTTGGGGTTGCAGTTTGGGCACTCGGCTCTAAAAGGTTCGCCATCCCTGTCCTAGGCTGTGCTGATAGGTTTTTGTAGTTTTAGTGGACATTTGTTTGTCACTTTGTGGTGACATTGACCTTTGGGCTCATAACTTACTTCTACTAGATCTGATGAGTGGGCAGGGAGTAGCTCTTCTCGGGATCATATATTATCACATTTATTTTCTACCCTTGCATACTGGTTTGTTGGCTCATGGAAATATCTGTGTAAAGTTGGCTCAGCATAGCACCTAGCCCATCATCTTTTCTTACCTCTGCATCCTTGACACACTCTCTCCTCCAATTCCTTAAGAAACAGATTTGCAGTCATCCCTCCCATTTGCAAATCTGATCATGTTCTTCTCTTACCCAAGGTTTATGAATGACTAGCCATCATGGTGGAGGAAAATTGAATTTACTTCACATTGGCTGCAGAGGAGGCTCTACAGGACCTGGCCCTGATTTTAGGTTACCTTTATTCCCTGCTCTTTCCTGCCTTCTGCCCTTCTGAGTTCTGCATTAGCCAACTCACATGCCTTAGCCCCTGCTGTTTTCCCCAAAGTTGTATTTTTTTTTCTAGACAAACCCTCATCCCTCAGAGTCAATTTTTCATGTCTCCTTTGAAACACTACCTTGTCTGTAAAGCCTTCCTTGATCTCCAGACAGATGGCAAACCCTGTCTGCTAGACACCCATTGCTTTGGGTGTTATTTCTAATATCATAATCTGTGTACTTTACAGATTGCTTGTGTTCCTCCTACTTGAAGATTAAACTCTCTGAAAGAAAGGACTGTGTTGTCATCTTAATAATCCCAAGCCTACTACAGTGCTCAGCATGGAATAGGTGCTCATTATATATTGATTGAATTAATTACCCTAGAAGGTTTAGAAAATGAGAACAAAATATTTCTTCTAGGAATTGTTTTATTTCAGTAGTAAACTAGAGTTCAGAGTTTAGCAAACTACAGCCCATCAGCCAAATCTAGCCTACCATCTGCTTTTGAAAATAAGACTTTGCTGAAATATGCCACACTCATTCATTTATAAATTACTCGTGGCTACCTTTATGCCCCAAAGCACAGTTGAGTAGTTGTGACAGAGACCACATGGCCTATAAAGCCTAAAATATGTACTGTCTGGCTCTTGAGAGAAAAAGAGTGCCAACCTCTGCTATAGATAATTGAGTCCATTGCAGGTCATGTTTTTATGGAACCACTACATAACTGTATCTTGACACTCCAAATAGCAGTTGGCCCCTTTTGATCACTACATTTCTTATCTAAGTCACAAATTCCTCCGGGACTTTTCATTTGGAAGAAAAAGTGCAACTCACCAATAACATAACTTGTGGTATCCTAAGCTTAGAGAATGTGAATGACAAGCATAGACGAGGCCTGAGTCTCTAACTCTTAAATGCTTTCACTTGAGCTTAGTCTAGTTATACCAAAGAAAGAAAAATTTCAAAATACATCGCCTTGGGAGAATTTCCTTTAGTTCACCAAGTGTACCTGCGCCCTACTCATTTTGCTGAGATTTGCTCACTGGCTCCTCTCTCCCACACCCCCTTGCACACCATCTTTCCTGAGTCCTCGGCACCCATTAGTACAGCAGTGTCCATGGATGTAAACTCAAGCATGTCAAGACCAGCCCTCACTTCCTTTAGCCCTTACTCACTGTGGCCCAGCAACGCTATCTAAAGCTGCACATCCTTTTCCTCTACTCCTGCTCTGATGTTTTTCCTCTCTAGCAGTTATCCATATTTAACATCTTATACTTCTTCCTTACCTTACTCATTTTCTGTTCCTCCTAGAGTATAATATCCCCATTTTTTGAAGAAATAAATGAAATACCAGATAAAGAGAGGGAAATGTCAAAGAATTGGTGTAGTGTGCCGTTTACTCTTTGCAGTGAACATCCTAGGCAGGAAGTTGCCACCAGTATGGAATATACAGTATCTTAACAGTGGCTGAGCCAGTCTTTTTGTCTTCCTTCTTTACAGTGAGTGATTTCTTCAAGATGGTGAAGTTTTAAGAGATTCTGTAAGTGTTGCACTCATGAAAGGGAATCCCTAGAAGTGCCATTGTGGGCCAGCACCTTTCTGGACGTCCCCTGATAACTTTCCTTGATTGCTGAAGAATTCTGTCTCTTCTAATATGTGACACTCTGGATGGTTCCTATGGTTTGCAGGAAGGTCACTTCAGTAAGAGGACACTGGTTTCAGAGGATGGTGAAGAGCTGAAGAGCTCTTCCTTAAGCCATCACTTTGTCACTGTGTGCACTGGGGGGTAGGGGACCCAACACTCTTGTGCACTCTTACAGTTGTGGCAATCTTGGCTTTGACTCTGTGATGTAGACTATTTTAACATCAAATGTTTCTATAAATATGCGTACTTACTGATCGCATACTTATCAGAGTTAACACAGCTCCTGAGAGTGCTCTAAATAGAAACGCAGGGTTAAAATTTTACCATGGAGTTTAGTGCTGTACATTCTTAGCTGAGGCTATATGATGTGAGGAAAATAACTTAACCTTCCCAAGACTCAGTTTCATCATCTATATTCTTATAATGATGCATTGCTATAATATTAAGTATGTATTTTGATTATTATGCTTTACTACATGCTAAAGTAAAAGTCAGCCTTCCTTATACATATCCTTGGGTTCCACAGCCACAGATTCAACTAACCATCGATCAAATATTTTCCAAAATAAAAAATTATTGCATCTGTGCTAACCATATACAGAATTTTTCTTGTCATTATTCCTAAACAATATAGTATAAGAACTATTTACAGAGTATTTACATTATATTGGGAATTAAAAGTAATCAGGGATGATTCAAAGTATACAGAAAGATTTACATGGCTTATATGTAAATGCTGTTATTTTAAATAAAAGACTTAAACATCTGCATATTTTTACAACTGCAGGAGTCCTGGAACCAATCCAGTATGGACACGAGGGGAGATTATATTAGCATATATTATAATTAGTATACATTAATTTATAGTAGTAGATGTAATTCATCAATATATTATTTTAAATGATACTATTGTACTGTTGAATATTATATAAGATAGGGTAAAATGTGGCCTACTTCATCAGGCCATTGGATGGATTTACTGTGAAGCTCCTGGCACAACTGCTGGCACATGGGAGGCTCTCAAACACAATTTTACCCCTTTCTAAAGCGTGCATGATACCAATCAACATAGTTTTTCCCACTAAACATTCCGTATAGTTCCTTTAAAAGGGAGGTAATGTGTAGGATCTTTTCACAATCGATTTCATTTTCTTTGGTCTATATGTGCATCCTCAAAGGAGATCGTGTGACCCAGTAGCTTCTTTAAATTTTGAATTTGGGGGCTGGCTGAGAAAATTCATGGCAAATTGAGAGGATTTGGTTTTGGGAATCAAGCGCCAATTATGGAGCACAAAGGTGAAGTGTGTTTGCCTTGGTTGCTGACTAAGAGAGAGGATGAAGTTTGTGAGAAACAGGTGAACTGTGTAAAGGCTAATGTGTTTCCTTTGGCCTGCAGGGTGATTTCACCTGGAACAGCATGTCGGGCCGCAGCGTGCGGCTGAGGTCAGTCCCCATCCAGAGTCTCTCGGAGCTGGAGCGGGCTCGGCTGCAGGAAGTGGCTTTTTGTCAGTTGCAGCAGGACTGTGACCTGAGCTGCCAGATCAGCATTCCCAAAGGTAAGGCTCTGTCTGCCTTTCTGCTGGGGAACACTACAAGTCAAACATCTGCTTTACCAAAGCCGTAAGCAGCAAACTCTTCTCACACCTACCATTAACACAGGAAGGAAACTCCAACTTTGGTTGTTGGCTGGCATTCATGTCCATTTTGAAAGACATGTCCAAGCAGGACAGTTTGCATGTCAGCTAACACATCTGTTGAAATGCAAGGTCAATTTATGGCATTCCAAAGGAGAGCAATGGTCTTCACAGCTTCACCAAAACCAATGAGACACGGCTTCCAGAAAGGGCAACCCAAAGGGTTGGAAGAAAAGCTGAGTTTGTCCCAACTTGATTGCAAAATCAACATGTAGAAAGAATGCCATGCCACTGTGCTATACTTGTCATTTGACCTTATGCAAACTTAGCATCGGGGATTGATTGTATAGAGATGAACTCCTTTGTCTCCAGTCTTTTACTCTTTGTGCCTGGGTTTTGCTTCACTGCTCTGATCCTGGAGCCTGGGCACACCTGCCTGGCTGATCTTTTGGCGCAGCTCCTGATTCCTGTCTCTAAAATTTCCTGTCATTTATGAAGACACTTTTAATATTCGTATTACTATCTAACTAATTTGAGGCAGAATGGAAAACTGTGATGTTACGCAAACAGAGTATATTGGCCCATAAAATGTGACATTGGCCAGTGGGCTTGGAACATAAAGGAAAGCAGGATAGCAAGCTTTGAAGAGCTAGATACTTCATGAGCATTTATTTACTCATCAAGTAATCATAGACACATATATGGTTATAGAGACACATATGTGTGCATACATGTGGATATACACATACATACATAGATGTATGGTTCTCAACTGTGATGATTTTACCTCCTAGCCACAGGGAAAAACTGCCCATGTCTGGCCACACATTTGGTTGTTGAAGCTTGGGGAAAGGGTACCACTGCAATCTAGTTGATAGGGCCAGGGGTGCTTCTAAATGCCGTACTATACACGATAGTCCCCCAGACAAGAATTATCAAGCTCTAGGTACCTGTGCGCCAAGATTGAACAACCTTACCTCCCTTATCTGTGTCTAAAGGAAAGAATGCTGAGCACCAAACTTGGGGAATTCATTTCATTACTATACACACAGGTAAGTTGAGCAGTTTGGCTCTGAAGTAGGACGCTTGGTTCTTTGACTAGGAGTAACACAAAAACACTAAGTACATTTGTTTGTTGGTGGTGAGTCTTAGAGCCATAGTTCCCCCTTTGCCTGGAATCTGAGTCTACTGGGGACCACGAAAGAGTTCAGAAGGGAGAGGTAGGGGAGGCCTAGGGATGACAAGGCGTGTATGTCCCTGGCAGGTGCCTTGCTCCTTTGGCTTTCTTGTCACCTTCTGTTCCCTCCACAACCACAGCCAGCTCCTTCAGACAGGAAATCCCCACCCATGTGTTGTCTTTTCCCACTAATCTCCCACAGAGAGGCCCTCAGCACAGGCAAGAGGAGTCACTAAGGGAGTTGTAAAAACTGTCAGGCTGTGTTACTGTTGCTTTCAAGGACGGAGCCTGTTACCTTATCTGGTTTGGGTTTTATTGTAGGGTAGAGATGAGGCCTACCCTCCCCTCCCACTTAGCTCACAAGATGGTCCATGCATGCCCAACCCATTCAGCTAGACCTTTGTCCCTTTCATCATGAACATAGACGTTCTTTACATTCATAAAAGATTAAAAATATTAGCAGGATGTGATGGTGCACACCTGTATTCCCAATTACTCAGAAGGTGGAGGCAGGAGGATGACAAGTTCAAAGCCGGCCTGAACAATTTAGTGAGGCACTGTTTGAAAATCACATAAGAAATGAGGATGTAGTTCAATCTCCAGTACTACAAAAACAAAAAGAAAGGTTGTGGAAATTCAGCTTATCATTGAGGGAATGATGACTTCGAAAAGTTTTGAAACTTAGATTGGATCTGCATCAGATAAGCCATCAGGGAACTTTGTAGCTTGGCTTTTAAATCCAGTTAATTTGATGTTTCCCTACGTTTAAAGGGTCCATAAAATAACCTTTACTAAACAGGTAATTTTACAAAACTTGTCTGCTGAAGGTTCTGTCTCCATTGCTTACTTCTGAAATTGTGCGGTTCCTCATACCTCTAGAGAAAAAATCATGCTATTGAGATGTTTGAAGATATCATCAAGGCACAGAGGATATTTTCATACTTTCTATCAAAATGGAGACTAATGACTTACAAAGTAAATTTTCTCACTTACGGAGAGGAGAAGGAATTGTATGGCTGGGTGGCAAAACCAAACCTCACCCAAGCGTTTCTAAAGCTATTGTTTTGTGCACAGGATTATAGACATGAAGTTACTAAGATCCTGTGAATGTGTGGCTAGTGCTAAGTGCTATGACAGTAGCTTTGGGACGGATGTGGCCACTTGGTCCCCGTGGAAACTCCCAAGTGGAGGTTCTAGAATAATATCAGATTCACTGCATGAAAAATTTTCCAGGAAAAATAAATGCAGCAATCAGAGCCTAGAGCCTAAAGAATATCATACCTTGAAAGACTGGAAATAATGAAAAGGGAAACAATCAAGCTTATCCCTTCATGATGCCCACATGGACTTATTTATGACTAGCTTCTTGGAGACTGGTGCTTCTGGGGCTCAGATTAATGATATTACTATATAACATAGTCATCAGCTGCCAGGATTTACTAGAGAGAACGAACAACTGCAGATGGGGCAGGGGAGTTACTGGGATGGTTTCCTGGGATGGACCACAGAGGGATCCAGGACAAAAGAGAAGGGCTTGACCTTTGATGGAGCTATAATTATAATTGGACGTGAGTTACATGGACATAGATGCAAGTGAGTTAGAAGATGGTGGGAGATCATATGGAATTTCTGGTGAAATAGGAAGCAATTTCATACACTGGGAGTGAGGACGGAAAGAGGTCTTGGAGGTTGAGAAAAGAGAAGGAGCAGACAAGAGGGGATCTAATGCACCAGCAATGATGCAGGATTGCAGACAGCCAAATGTCCATTTGAGATTTGTAGATTGAAATTTCCAGTGCAAAATAAACATTCTAGTGAATCAACACTATTAAAACAGAACACATCATTTTTGTGTTTTAAATGCCTTAGCTCTAGTTAATCCAAATCTCTTCTAATTAGGATTAGAGTTTTCTGGTAAAGTTTGGTGAAAGTAGAGAGGGACATGACAATTAAGTGTATCTGTGGTCTGCAGAATAATACCCCCCTAAAGATAGCCACAACCTAATCCCTGGAGCCTGTAAATGCGTTACCCAACTCACCAAAAGGAACTGTGCAAATGGGATGAATTAAGGTCCTTGAGATGAGATTATCCTGGATTGTCTGAGAGGATCCAAGTTAATCATGCAGGCACATAGTTGAAAGTGGGTAACTGTCCCAGCTGTAGTCAAGAAGGATGTGATTATGGAAGTACAGCCAGAGAGATGCAGTGTTGTTGGCTTTGAAGATGGAGAAGGAGGGCCACAAGCCAAGGAATGAGGGTGGTCACCAAAAGCTGGAAAAGTCAAAGGAACAGATTCTCTCCTAGAGTGTCCAAAAAGGAACACGGTCCTGCCCTCACCTTGGCTTTAGCCCGCTGAGACCCATTTTAGACTTCTGTCTTCCAAACTGTAAAATAATAATTTTGAGTTGAGTTTTGCCAATAAATTTAAGGCCATTTGTTTTAGCAGTGATAGGAAACTAATACAATATCCAAGAGAATTATAATCCCAGACCTTGGGGTCTACAATGGATAATAAGCAGCTAGGAATAAACATGAAACACATATTTTTCTCAAGTAAGAATCAATAATATAAAGGTTCAGTTATGCCATCAGTTTTCTATAAACTGAATATGATTCTAAAATAAGTGTACCAAAACAATGTTTTCAGTAATTTCATGAAATTAGTCTGAATATCATCTGAGTAAATAATTATAGGAAGGTAGTCAGGGGAAATCTGATAAAGAAGTCTAATAAAGATGATCCCTGTGTATTTATTAAAATATGCCATAAAACTAAAGCAATTAAAAGGATACTGTACTGTTGCACAAGCATTGGGAGAAAATCGAGTTCCAAAATAAATCTAAATATATACAATAATCAATTACATAATAAATATGTATTATTTTTTTCTTACTGGGAAAATATGGATTGTTTGAGGCAATGAGACTACCATTGGGGAGGAAAAACTGGATTCTGACCTTATTCCTTACATCAAAATAGATTGATTGGATGCAATATTTGAAGATAAGAAACAAAACTATGAAAAAAAAAAACCGACTTGGGGCCAGGGATTTAGCTCAGTGGTGTCGCCGCCTGCTGTGCAAGTGCAAGGACCCGAGTTCGATCCCCAGTACCAAAAAAAACAAGACAAAACAAAACTATGATTGTATCAGAAGAAAACAGAACTGGATATTTATATTTTAGGAAAACACAACCCAGAAAACATAAAGACAAGATCAAAATTTCACTACATAAAAAATACTATCTTCTGTGTGACAACTAAAAATTCATACATACCACATTTGACAAACTAAATGCTAATTTCCTTACTATATAAGCTCTGTTCCAAATTAAAATGAAGAAAAATCTAAAATATGGACAAATTACAAGCAGCTCACAGAAAAAGAAATTGAAAAAAATGTATAAATATTTGAAAAGATTCTTACGCTCACATTAATTAAAGAAATGTAAGCTGAACACAAGGGAGCTTTTTACTCTCACATTGCTATGGATCTAAAAGTTGGATAATATACTTGATGAGGAAATAGACAATCTCAAAAACTCTTGATAGGAGTATGAGTCATTGAAACAAATTACAAGGCAATTTGCCAACATCTAAATTTAAATGGCCAATGATTCTAGATCTAAAAGCAGTGTATCTCACAGATATACACTCATAGTATTAGTTGGGCTAGGCTAACTACTCAGTACCTTGACACAAAAAGGCATCTTTTTATATTTTTTTTCATTAGTACATGTTTGTAG